TTGAAGCTCTTGATGAAGTTACAACCTCTAATGTTACTGTTACCGATGATAGGACATTTCCTGATGAAGCAGATGAACCCCACATGAAGCAGAATCTAACAAGACGGAGACCAGCACGGAAGAAGACACGTCCCGTAAAATTAAGAGTTTTTTTCGAATTGTAATTTTATGTTTGTAATTCTGTACATTTTAATTATGTTAATTTTTATTGGGTTATCATATGTGGTTATTGTTCGGGACAAACAATATTAAGGAGGGGGCAGTGTTGCGTCAGCGAGTCACATGACCACGTGACGCAACGTTTCTAGAATTATCATGTACTTTGTCGAATGTTCAAGGTCTTACTAGAAATAGGTTACGCTGGTATAAAAGCGGGGAAGGTAATGTGTGTGGAGGCAGAGATAGTGAGTGATTGAACTGCGGTCAGAAGTATTATTGACGTTCGTTTGTTTAGCGCGATTGTTGAGTTCAGTGTATCGGTAAAGTTATATTCGGAAAGAATAAACCAGTTTTATTAAGTAAAGACTTGTGTCGTTAAAATTTCGTCGGAACGAAGTTACGGAAAAATCAATTAACGAAACGGAGACGTAACAATATCATGTAATGAACCTGTTGTATTATCGAAGCCTCTGATAGACTCGAAATGATTTATTACACACACACTGTCCTCTGTTGGGACAGCGGTAAGTCTATGGATTTACAATGCTAAAATTAGGGGTTCGATTGCCGTAGGTGGACATAGCAGATGGCTCGATATGGCTTTGCTTTCAAAAACAAGAGAATCCTCAATAGCTGCCGCTGTAATTAGATCTCAAATCGGTCAAGGTATGGAGCTATGAACTAAAAGTTTGTACTTGAAAAAAAACTCGGAGCCATTCTATGAGCCACAGCTTAAAAAACACTATGATGTCACAAGCCATGTAATCTCTTGCTGTCTTAGAACCCCAGTGGGCGTATATTTTGGAACGAGGTTTGGCGAGTGTAATAATCAAGTCTGCTAGCTAGATATATATAGAGCATGCTATTTCTTAAAATTTAAGATAAACTTCATGTAGAATATTTAATTACGATATATTTGACGAGGGAAGTCGGGAATTTCTCAAAACTTCAGCTTTTCTGTGAAAAGAAATGTAAGATTTTCAGTTAACCAAGAAAAATCTGAAGTTCTGTCAAGGACTGATTTATTATCTTACCTATTTCAGTAGTCATTGAAGTAAATAGTCACTATCTCACATTATCCCTTTTTATGATTTGTCTCATATGATAAGAGCTATAGAATAATCTTCAGAGGTTCACAGTTTTTAATGGTTTCATTCCGACCGTAAACAGTAGTAAATTATATTTTAATACTATAAGAATGAAAAAAGATTAACACTCTGCCTGTCATGAAATTTAGTTCTTATGAGATAATAATATTGTTGCGTCAGCGAGTCACGTGACTACTATGACGCAACGTTTCTAGAACT